CAAACATTTCATGATTATATTAATATATGCAGAAAAAGTATTTGATAAAATCCAGCACCCATTTCTGTTAGAATCTCTCAGCAAAGTGGGAATAGAAGGATCATACCTCAATATAATAAAGGTCATATATGATAAACCCACAGCCAACATCATGCTCAATGGGCAATAACTAAAAGTGTTTCCCTCAAGATCAGGAATAAAACAGGGTTGTCCATTTCCTCTGTTCTCATACTATTGGAAGTCCTAGCCACAGCACTCAGACAAGAAGAAGAAATTAAAGGCATCCAAATTGGAAAGGAGAATGTAAAACTGTCATTATTCATAGATGACATGATACTGTACACAGAAAGCCCTAAAGACTCCACCAAAAAACTACTAGATTTAGTAAATGATTTCAGCAAAGCAGCAGGATATTCAGATCAGTGGCATTTTTATATAACAATAATGAACCATCAGAGAAAGAAACTGACAAAACAATCCTATTTACTACTGCAACAAAAAAATAAAGTACCTAGAAATTTAACCATGGAGATAAAAGACCTGTACTCAGAAAATTATAGGATATTGAAGAAAATGAGGAAGATACAAATAAGTAAAAGCATATACTGTGTCTTTAAATAGAAAAAAATTATCATTAAAATGTCCATACAACCCAAACCAACCTACAAATTCAATGCAATTCCTTTTTACTTTTTTCTTTGTTGATTTTAGAGAGACAGGAAGGGATAGGGACAGAGAGACAGAAACATCAATGAGAAAGAGCATCGACTGGCCGCTTCCTGCATGCCCCCCACTGGGGATTTGGCCCACAACCTGGGAATGTGCCCTGACCAGGAACTGAACTGGCAACCTCTTGGTGCATGGGTCAATGCTCAACTACTGAGCCACACTGGCTGGGCTCAATGCAATGCCTTTTAAAATATCAATGGCATACCTCAGATATAGAACAAATATTTTTTAAATGTATATGAAATCACAAAAGACCATGAATAGCCTCTGCAATCTTGAGAGAGAAAAACAAAGTTAGAGGCATCACAATCCCTGATATCAAACTATACTTCAAGGCCACAGTAATCAAAACAGCATGGTAAAAGCATAAAAACAGACATATAGATCAATGGAACACAATAGAGAGCCCAGAAATAAACCTATGCCTCTATACTCAATTAACAATCAACAAAGGAGGCAAAAACATACAATGGGGTAAAGATAGTCTATTCATAAATGATGTTGGGAAAATAGGACAGATACATGCAAAAAATAAATAAAACTAGACCACCAACTTACATCATAGACAAGATTAAACTCAAAATAGATTAAATACTTAAATGTAAGTCACAAACCATAAAGATTCTGGAAGAAAACTTAGGCGGTAAAATTTCAGGCTCTTCTTGTAGTGATATTTTTGTCAATGTATCTTCTCAGGCAAGGGAAACAAAAGGAAAAATAAAATAAATAGGACTATATCAAACTAAAAAGCTTTTCCACAGGGGGGAAAAAAAGAAAACATTAACAAACTGAAAAGGGAACCCACTGAATGTGAGAACATATTTGATAGTGGTACATCTGACAAAGGGTTAATTTCCAAAATATAGAAAGAACTAATAAAACTCAACACCAAGAAGCCTAACAACCCAATTAAAAAATGGGTGAACAACCTAAATAGACATTTCTCCAAAGAGGACATACAGTTGGACAAGAGACATGAAAATACGCTCAATGCCACTAAACATCAGAGATGCAAATTAAAACCACAATGAGATGTCATCACCTCACACCTGTCAGAACGGTTATCATCAATAAATCAATAACAAAAAGTGCTGGCAAGGATGTGGAGAAAAGGGAACCCTCATGCACTGTTCAGGGAAATGCAGACTGGTGCTGCTACAGTGCAAAACACTATGGAGTTTCCTCAAAAAATTAAAAAAATGCAACTGCCTTTTGACCCAGTAATCCCACTTCTGGAAATACATCCATAGAAACCTCACATTGATGTTTTTATCTCTCTCTCCCTTTCTTTCTCTCTAAAAAAATCAATAAAAACATATTTTCAAAATGAAGAATACACTGGAAGAGCTAAACAATAGATTAGATAGAGCAGAGGATCAAATCAGCAGTTTGGAAGACAAGGTAAAAAAAACAAACATCCAATCAAGAGAAGACAAAAAAAGCAAGAACTCTAAATGAGGATAGTTTAAGGAACATTTGGGACAACATGAAGCAAACCAACACCTGCACGATAAGGTAGCAGAAAAAGAAAAAGAAGAGCAAGCAAGGGATTGAGAAACTATTTGAAGCAAAAATGACTAAAAGTTTCCCCAACCTGGTGAAGGAAAATGACACACAAGTCCAGGAAGCACAAAGTCCCTAACAAGATGAACCAAAAGAGGCCCACACCAAGACACATCCTATATATAATGGCAAAGGTAAAAAACAAAGACAAACTCTTTTTTTTTTTTATCCTCACCCGAGGATATTTTTTTCCATTTTTTTTTTTTGTACAGATAGAGTGGGAGGGAGAGAGAGAAAGGGAGAGAGAGAGAGAAACATCGACGTGAAGGGACACATCGAGTGGCTGCCACCCGCACGACCAACCAGGGCCGGGGACAAACTGCAACTGAAGTACGTGCCCTTAGTGGGAACCGAACCCGGGTCTCTCCGGACCGCAGGCCGACGCTCTAACCGCGGGTGAGGATTAAAAAAAGAAAATTAAAAATTGAACTTCCATTTGACCCAGTGATCCCACTTCTAGGAATATACCCTAAGAAGCCTGAAACACCAATCAGAAAGAATATATGTACCCCCATGTTCGTAGCAGCACTATTTACAATAGCTAAGATCTGGAAACAGCCCAAATGTCCATCAGTTGACGAATGGATAAAAAAACTGCGGTACATATACACAATGGAGTACTATGCAGCAGCTATAAGAAAGAAAGATCTCTTATCCTTTGAGACTACATGGAAGGATCTGGAAAGTATTATCCTAAGCAAAATAAGCCAAACAGAGAAAAGACAAGTATCATATGATCTCACTTATTTGTGAAATATAATGAACATAACAGTCTGAGGAATGGGACAGTCCCAGAGACGTGGAAGTGAGGTACAGACTGACAATCCCCAGAACAGGGGGTAGGGGAGAGATAAACCACAGAACTTATATGCACGTGTGCATGAACAAAGGTCATGGACAACAAAGCTGGGGACAGGGTGGGGAGGGTTGGGGAGGGGGGAATCAGTGGGGGGGAAAAGGAGAAAAATCTGTAACAAAAATAAATAAATTAATTAAAAAACAAAACAAAAGATATAGGGTAGCTGACTGAAAAAGAAAACAACACCCATACATATATATGCTTTCTATAAGAGAACCATCTCAGAATAAAAGATACACACAGTCTACAACTAAAGGGATATAAAAAGATATTTCATGCCAAAGGGAATAATTAAAAAAACTGAAGTAGCAATAGTTATATCTGAATAGACACTTCTCCAAAGAGGACATACAGATGGCCAATAGACATATAAAAATATGCTCAATTTTACTAATCATCAGAGAAATGCAAATTAAAACCACAATTAGATATCACCTCACACCTGTCAGAATGGCTAACATCAATAAACCAACAAACAAGTGTTGGCAAAGATGTAGTGTTGGCAGTTGCAGACTATTGGTGGGAATATAGATTGTTGCAGCCATGGTGGAAAGCAGTATGGAGTTACCTCAAAAAATTAAAAATGGAGTTAATTGCCTTATGATCCAGCAATATCACATCTGAAAATATATCTTAAGAAACCTGAAATACTAATTCAAAAGAATATATGTACCTCTATGTTCATTGAAGCATTATTTACAATAACCAAGATTTGGAAGCAGCCAAAGTATCCATCAGTAGATGAGTGGATAAAAGAGCTGTAGTACATTTATATAATGTAACACTACTCAGCCATAAAAAATAAGGAAATCTTACCTGTTGTTACAGCATGGATGGACCTGGAGAGTATTATGCTAAGTGAAATAAGCCAGTCAGAAAAAGACAAATATATGATTTCATTTATATGTGAAATCTAATGGACAAAATAAACTAAGAAAACAGAAACAGACTCATAGATACAGAGAACAGATTGACAGCTGTCAGAGAGGGTGGGGAGTTAGGGGAGCTGGATGAAAAAGATGAAAGAATTAAGCAAATAAAAAACCTCATAAGACAGTATTATGATTACGAAAGGGAAAGGCAGAAGAGGGTAAATGGGGGATAAATGGTGATAGGAGACTTGACTTGGGGTAGTGAATATACATTATAATATACAGGTGATTTATTATAAAATCATACTCCTGAAACTATATAATCTTATTAAAAATGTCACCCCCAACAAATTCAATTTAAAAAGTACACTTGAATTCAGACAATTTAAATCCAGTAAGCCTCAAAAAGTAAAGACAATTGTTATTAACTAACTTAATAAAAAATCACTACTTATTAATGTGTAATATTGTTGAAAGATAACTCCTTAAATTATATCACTGCAATATTCATTTCTGAAAGTATTTATATTTAACCCTTGAATAACACAGATTTGAACTGCATGTGTTTGTTTATAAGTGGCAGTTCAAACCCTTGTTTTAAAAGGGTAAACTATAGTTTCCATTAGTGGTTGGGAAACACTTGCTGTTTGTTGGCTTATTGATGTGGAGAATTGACTTCAGTTATACAAAGATTTTTGACTCTGTGGGCAGGCGGCACCCTAATCCATTAATCAAGGGACAACTATAGTAGAAATCCATATTCCAATGACACACGTAAAGAAACTTGGCAAACACAATTACTTACAGTTTTAATAACAATTCTTTAAGTTGAAAAGTTTTCTGGAACGGTATAAATAAATAGTGATCAAACCTTATCAGGTTATTTACATTTTTATTTCTTTCAGTGGGATTTTGAAATATAAAGATGTGGGCAAACTGAAGTCTCTCCCAAACTATTTACATTTACTAGATTTTACTCAATGAGTCCTCTTATGCCTTTGAAAAGAATAGTGATCAGAATAGGCTTTCCCACATTCTTCACATTTATATGGTTTCTCTCCAGTGTGCACTCTCAAATGTAACTGAAGAATTTTGTTACAAGTGAAGGCTTTTTTACATTCCTTGCATTTAAATGGCTTCACTCCAGTATGATTTCTTTGGTGTATTCGTAAGGAACTATAATCTCTATAGGTTTTACCACATTGTTTACATTCATAGGGTTTCTCTCCAGTGTGACTTCTTTCATGTCTTTGATACCAACTACGGCGAGGGAATGATTTTCCACATTCCTTACACTGATAAGGAGTATTTCCAGCGAGTATTTTCATGTGTACTCTAAGGGAGCTGTGATAACTGTAGGTTTTACCACAATGTTTACATTCATAGGATTTCCGTCCTGTGTGAGTCTCTTGGTGTCTTTGTAAGGAACTGTTTTGTTTGAAAGCTCTTCCACATTCCTTACATTCATGGGGTTTTTCTGCTGTGTGAGTCCATTTGTGTGGTTCTAAGGAACTGCGGTATCTGAAGGCCTTCCCACATAATGTACATTTATAGCGTTTCTCTTCAGTGTGACTTTTTTCATGTCTTCGAAAACTTCGATAGTTCATGAAGGTTTTTCCACAGTGTTTGCATTGATAGGGCTTCTCTCCAGGGTGGACTCGGTCACATGTCTGAAGAGAAGTTGAAGAACTAGAGGTTTTCCCACGTACCTTACATTTATGAGGAGCATCTGCAGTATGTGTGATCATGTGTCCTTGAAGCAATGTGAGCCCCATAAAGGCTTTTCCACACTTTTTACATTTATAGGTTTTCTCTTCGTTGTGAGTTCTTTCATGGTTTTCAATACATCGAAGGGAACTAAAAACTTGACTACATATGTTACATTTATATGGCTTCTCTCTATATTTCTGATACTCAGAGAGCTTGTGTCCAGTGTGACGTCCAGTGTGCCTATTCAAAGATGAACGATCTGTGAAGACTTTCTCACATATGCTGTATTCATCTGGTTTTACTCCAGGAAGAGATTCCTTGTTCAGGTTGAGATTTGGAGTAAATCTGACATTTTCTCCACGTGGACTAACCTCTTCCCTTTCACAGATTTTCTTTAACACAAGAATTCTGTAAAAACCAAGAAGCACATTATTAATGACTTTTTATTAATTGTCTTATATTTATTATTAAAATAATTTAACTATATATTTATGAATCATATCAAAAGTATAGGTTTTCTGTTTTGCCTGAATTGTTTGAAATTTAGTATAATGAAGGCCCTGTAAGACAAGTTCCTCCATGCTATTATTAAAACAGTGATATTTATACACAGGGTTCAATAATACTGACATTTTGTAATCTATTTTCAAACACTGTCATATATAAAAATGTAATTTAGAGAAATTTTTCTAAAAAGTAATACATTTTATTTTATTTTTTTAAAAATTTTTTTATCCTTACCTGAGGACATTTTTCCATTTTTTGTTCAGATAGAGTGGGAGGGAGAGAGAGGAAGAGAGAGAAAGAGAAACATCGACGTGGAAGGTACACATCGAGTGGCTGCCACCCGCACGACCAACCAGGGCCTGGGACAAACTGCAAACAAGGTATGTGCCCTTAGCGGGAACCAAACCTGAGTCTCTCTGGACCACAGGCCAATGCTCTAACTGCTGAGCCAAACCGGCCAGGGCTAAAAAGTAATACATTTAAAGTAGGGGAAACTTCTGCTCAAGATGGCAGCATAGGTAAACGCCAACAGCCACATAAAAATTACAAATGAACTACAGAACAACCATCATTCAGAATCACCTGAAATCAAGCTGTATGGAAGCCCTACAACTACAAAATTAAAAAAGAAGCCATATCGAGACTGGTAGGAGGGATGGACATGGGGGTCAGGCTGAGCCCACACCCACGTGTGGTGGATAAAAATCAGGAGGGGTAGCCTGGCCAGTATGGCTCAGCGGTTAGAGCATTGGCCCGCAGACCAGAGAATCCCAGGTTCAGTTCCCACTAAGGGCACATACCTCGGTTGCACTTTGTCCCTGACCCCTGTTGGGATCCTGCAGGTGGCAACCAGTTGATGTGTCTCTCACATCAATGTTTCTCTCTCTTTTCCCTCCTCTCTCCCTCCCACTCTATATGAAGATAAATGCAAAAAAAAAAAAAAAAAAAAGTCCTTGGGTGAGGATTAAAAAAAAAACTCAGGAGGGATACCTCTAGCATGGGGGAAGTAGCTTGAAAGGCACCAGAGACTTACGGGGAAGAACTGAGTTATTCGGCATTGGGGTGAGAGTTGGAGAAGCAGCTTTCTCCTGGACAGATGTGCTGGTGGAGACCGTTGTTCCTTTGGTGAGTCCTTGCCACTTGAGGCCAGCAAAAGGGCACCATATCTGGGACTCCAGCAACCTGGCTCACATTGTTTGCCCTGGTGATTCCCAGAGGCCCTGCCTCACCCAACTTTCAGGCCTACCCAGGCTGTTTCCAGTGGCTTTACCATAGGATTTCCCTGTCTTGGATCCTCCTTCAGAGTTTCCTAAAATTTCTCAAATCGCATCTGGACTCAGCAAGCCCCATAACTCTTGCTAAGTGGCCCCAGGCCTGGCACTATAAGCAGCCAGCCTTGATTCACAACTTGGCTTTACCTGGGCACCTCCAAGCTTAGCAAAAGAAGCAGTCATCTGTAGATCATTTTGTTGCTTATATCTGGTGGCCCCAGGTAGAATACAGGAATTGGCTGACCTGGCCCCAGAGTCAGCACACCCAATGGACACCTTCAGACCACATCAAAGTACCACCACCCAACCACCTCCACAAGTGACACATTCAAGGAGTGGACTCAATGGATACTAGAGCCTGGCTGAAGTAAGTCTTGCTCTATGTGGTGGGCCCCTGCACAGCTGATCCTCCAAGGTATACAGAAGCCAGTTGTCAGTGGGCACAGCCAGTCCTTGCAGCTGATCAACCTAAATAAATCCCTCCCATTGATGTGCAAACAGCAATCAAGACTCAATTAAAACAGAATGGTATATAGTCCACATGAGTGGTGCACCTCGAGAGCCCAGCTGGGGTGATCAGTGAGGCAGCACCACTGGATCCTACAGAACACTTACTATAATAAGCCATCCTACGAAGCCTAGGAGACATAGTAACTCTACCTAATACATAGAAACAAACACAGGGAGGCAGCCAAAATGAGGAGACAAAGAAACATGTCCCAAATGAAAGAAAAGAACAAAACTCCTGGAAAAGAAATGAACAAAATGGAGATGAGCAATTTGTTATATGCAGAGTTCAAAACAATAAGCAATCTGTTAGATGCAGAATTCAAAACACTGGTTATAAGGATGCTCAAGGAACTTAGTGAGAACTTCAAGAAACTTAGTGAGAACCTCAACAGCATAAAAAAGGACCAGTCAGAAATGAAAGATGCACTAACTGAAATAAAGAATAATTTACAAGGAATCAATAGTAGAGAAGCTGAAGTCAAGAAGCAAACCATCGATATGGAATATAAGGAAGCAAAAAACACCCAATCAGAAAAGAAAAAAGAATCCAAAAAAATGAGGATAGTGTAAGGAGTCTTTGGGACAACTTCAAGTGTAACAACATTTGCATCATGGGGGAGCCAGAAGGAGAAGAGGGAGAGCAAGAACGTATTTTTTAAAAAATTATGACAGAAAACTTCCCCAACTTGGTAAAGGAAACAGACATACAAGTCCAGAAAGCATAGAGAGTCCCAAACAAGATGAACCCAAAAGAGGACCACACTAAGACATATCATCATCACAATTAAAGACAAAGAGAGAATCTTAAAAGCAGCAAGAGAAAAGCTGTTAGTTACTTACAACGGGGCTCCCATAAGACTGTGAGCCGATTTCTCAAAAGAAACTTTGGAAGCCAGAAGGGAGTGGGAATAAATAATAAAAGTGATGAAAAGCAAGGACCTACAACCAAGATTACTCTATCCTGCAAAGCTCTCATTTAGAATCCATGGACATATCGAGTTTCCCAGACAAGAAAAAGCTAAAGGATTTCATTGCCACCAAGCCAGAGCCCTGGCCGGTTTGGCTCAGCGGTTAGAGAGTTGGCCTGCGGTCCTGAGAGACCTGGGTTCGGGAACTCGGCCCTGATTGGGTTGTGCGGGTGGCAACCACTCGATGTGTCCCTTTCACATCAATGCTTCTCTCTCTCTCTCTCTCCCTCCCACTCTATCTGAACAAAATATCGAAAAATGCCCTCGGGTGAGGATAAAAAAAAAAGGGTAAAGGGGTCTCCCTGAAGGAGAAGAACAAAAATATGAACAATAAAATGGCAGTAAATACATATCTATCTATAATTGAATCTACAAACAAAATGTACAAGCAGCCCTGGCCAGTTTGGCTCAGCGATAGAGCAAGAGAGACAGGGTTCGGTTCTCGCTAAGGGCATGTACCTCGGTTGCAGTTTGTCCCTGGCCCTGGTTGGTCATGCGGGTGGCAACCACTCGATGTGTCCTTTTCATGTCAATGTTTCTCTCTCTCTCTCTCTCCCTCCCCACTCTATCTGAACAAAAAATGGAAAAATGTCCTTGGGTGAGGATAAAAAATAAAATAAAATAAAAATGTACAAGCAGAACCGAAACAGACTCATAGATACAGAGAAATTTTTGTTGGTTGCGAGATGGGAGGGGAAGTTGGAAGGATGAGTGAAAAAGGTGAAGGAATTAAGAAGTACAAATTGGTTGTTAGACTGACAAACCTCAAAAAGAAGGGGGAGGGGCAGCGGGAAGAGATCAACCAAAGAACTTACATGCATTTATGCATAACCAATGGACACAGACAATAGTGTGGGGAAGGCAAGAAGGGGGCGGGAGTGGGGAGGAGGGTGTCAATGGGGTAAAAAAGAAGTGACATCTGTAATACATTCAACAATAAAGTTCAAAAATAATAATAATAAATTAATAAAGTAGGGGTTATTTTGGTTGGTTCTTTTTAAAATTTCATAGAAAACAAGTTTCTCATTTGTCACAGTGCTTTCTATTGTAAGTGTAACTCACCTTCGTTTTCTCCCTTGGTTTTTGTTCTGATCTTCAATGTTATGATCTTCCCATTTTTTACCTAAAAAGAGCAAACCCAGAAAAATAATTATAAAATATTAGAAATTGTACAAAAATCTGTACATTCTACTTCTACAATGAGCTGTAACAATTTGCAATCCTTCCTTCCCACATTACACATCTTAGAATATGGTGACTGGTAAGAAACACACGTCCTCCAAATTAGGAACTGAAGGGAACTTGTCATCCTTACCTATGGAGGCCAGGTTCCTGGAGGTTTCCCACATCACATCTCTGTAGAGTTTTTTCTGTGAAGGATTTAGTAAAGCCCACTCCTCCAGGGTAAACTTTATAGTCACATCTTCAAGGACAAATGAGTCCTAAAACAGTTCAAATATGTGCAGAGTAAAATTTGTGAGACTGGCAGCACTGGACACCTAGACTCCATTTAAGGGAAGCCTATGTATAATCTTTGATCTCCAAACATTCATTCTATGACTTGATATTGTCCACACTTACTCCCTCATAAATTTAACACCATCATGAACACATGGAAATTGTTTCTACATTTGTAGTGTGCTCACATTAAATTTTTATTTCTCTAATGACAATCAAAGAATGCTGGGAAATGATGAAAGATACATTTCAACTATTAAATATTACCATTAATAATAAATACCATTTTTATACCATCAATACACTGTGAGAAAATTCTTTCATTTTCTTCCTTATTACTCACAATTTATAGCATTCCTAATTCAGAGAGTCATTATCTGCATTCAATAAACAAAATTTAGTTAAGAACTAGAAGGTTTCAAATCATCAAACATGAGAGTCATTTGGTGTTTGGTAACTCAAGTTTTAACAAGGCACGGCGGGCCATATTTCACTAAAGTCCTCCAGGACATTACAAATAATCAGATGTAGCTGGCTGAATAAAAATATTCCATTGAGGAGCATTGCTTTTACCTTGTGTGATATTTATCAGTTTCGGTCCTTCCTTTTTCTTTCTGTAGGATTTGATGAGCTAAAATGTTAATCATGTGGCATTTAATGACAAAGATATGTTCTGAGATACATGTTGTTAGGAAATGTTGTCACTGTGGGAACAGTGTGCATACACAAACCTAGGTTATGTAGCCTATCACACACCTAAGTTATATGGTACAGCAGATTGCTCCTAGGCCGCAAACCTGTACAGCATGTGACTGTACTAAATACTGTAGGCAATTGTGATGTAAGAGCAAGTATTTGTGTATCTATCTACACAATGCCTTTCCTTCTTCTGCCACTTCTAAGCTCCCCTGTGAAGTAAAGGAACATGATAGCTCAACCCCTGGGCATAAAAATCCCTCAGCTGATGACAACACACATGACCAATAGGGTGTGAAAGGGTTTTTAACTTGCACAATTGAGGTCTCTAGGGAAAGAAAATCAGGCCTCTCAAGTGGGTAGAAAATAGCTTAGAGAGCAAAGATGGGTGCACGGACTTGTTTTATTGAGCTTAAAGGGTGGGCTAGGGTGTTAGTTCATACACAAGGGTGCAGCTTGGGTGTAGTCAACCTCTTCCTACATCAAAGGACAAATGTGAAGGCCCTCTAGTCACCTTGGGTAAATGTAGAACACAAGGGAAAAAAGAAGTTTTAAAGCTCTCAGCAGTCAATTATCAATAACTGGAGTTCAAGTTTCTGGATTGGAATTTAAGTAACTTATAAGGTATCATTCTACCAATGACAGAAAAAAAGTTCAAACTTAAAATGAACTTCTATTTTTAGATCCATAAGGTAATTCAGATCACAGGACATCCTGGTGTTAACAAAATTAGGAAAGAGAAAATGAACATGACATTTTAAAATATGGCCCAGATATCCTGTTCTAAACACAACCAGTCCTCAAATCTATCTCAGGAAAAAATAACACAAAACTAAAAAATCAAAGACAGTAGGCTATATCCACGAACCCTAGGACAAACTTCTTTAAACAAAGTTTAAAAACACTTAATGAGAATACCTTTTAAAAAGGAATACAGAAAAAAACAAATCAGTATAGTACCGATCACTAAAATTTTTCTAAAGTTAATGCTAGACACCAAATTGTCAATCAAGAAACTCACAGGACACTAAACATGACAAACAACAAAAGTGCACACCTGAGACGCAAATTAGACAAAGATCAAAGACAAACAATATTACTGAAACAAGCCAGGAGAAAATACCTTACATACACAAAACAAATATTAGAATTAAACTAAACTTCTCTTTATAAATCATGATAGCAAGAGAATAAAATAATATATTAAAATTTTGAAAGAAACAAAACCACTATTCTAGAATTGTCAAAAAAAATTATCCTTCAAAAATAAAGAAAAATAAGTATATTCTGAGTTTAAAAACTGAAGTAATTTTACATGAGTATACCTACATTGAAAGAAACATTCTAAAATCTATCAGGATGAGATGAACCAAACAACTTATATGCATGTATGCATAATCAATGGACATAGACAACAATGCTTGGGGGTGGGCAGGGTGGGATCAGGAAGAGGGTATCTGGGGGGAAGAAACATCTGTAACAAAAATTAATTAATAAAAATTAAAAATATCTATCAAAAGAATGTAAATATGATTGTGGGGGTGGAGGGGTATGGGTGGAGGTGGAAGAGAGGAATAAACGGTGATGGAAAAAATAAAATTAAAACCCGCCCCCCTAAAAAAAGAATTTGAAAAAAGAGTGTAAATGATACTTGTCAATTAAAAAGAAAGATTAACTGGCTGGTGTGGCTCAGTGGTTGAGCATCGACCCATGTACCAAGAGGTCACGGGTTCTATTCCTAGTCAGGGCACATGCTCAGGTTGTGGGCCAGATCCTCAGTGGGGGCTATGTAGGAGGTGGCCAATCAATGTTCTCTCTCATCACTGTTTCTCTCTCCCTCTCCCTTCCTCTCTCTCTAAAAAGTCAATAAAGAAAAAAAATTTAAAACAAGCTTAACTCATTTAAAAAAATTAATCAATTAATTAAAAAAATAAAAACAAAGATTAAATATCTTTTGTATTTCTTATCATCATGTAACAAATGACACTTTGTTTAAAACAATATACACTAACATTTAAAATAATAAAAGGTCAATTCTCCAAGAAGGGTTAGAAATTTTTTATATGTATGTGCATAACAAAACAGCAAACTGCATTAGGCAAAAAGAAATAAGTGAAAGCACTAGTATAGTTGTTGACTTCAACAACCTCTTATCATGAATTATCTTCTAGCAGAAAGAATACCACTACAGACAGATGAACTCAGTCGTGTTATGTAACAAATGGATTTAATTGTAATCTGTGAAATACTTCATGCAAGAAGAAAAGAATACATTCTTCTGAAGTTCACATGGAACATTCACCAAGACAGAACACAGCATGGGGCACAAAACACACCTTAACAAATGTGAAAGAACAGAAATCATATAAAATATGTTCTCACATTACAGAGGCATTATCATAGAAATCAATAACAGGATAGTGAAAAAAATCCCCAAATGTGGAGTCATTTCAAAAGACAATTCCAAATAATATATGAAATAAAAAAAGGAGTCTTAAAAATAAAAACGAAAAATTATTTTAAACTCCATGAAATGAAAACACAACTTCAAAAGTTGTGGGATGCAGCAAAGGCAATGTTCGAAAGGAAATTTATGCCACAGAACTAATGCACTAGCAAAAAAAAAAAATCTATAATTATTCATGTAAGCATCTAATGTACACAGCAATAAAAGGAAGAGCTAATTAAACCTAAAATAAGCAGAACAAAATAACAATGAAAATTAGAAAAGTAATCAAGATAACCGTGAAAAGTCAATGAAGAAAATTCAAACAAAAATAGCTGGTTCTTTCACCAGACGAATAACATTCATCACCATAACTAAGAAAAGAGGGAGGCAAGAATTACAACATAAAACCATCATGGGTAACTCCAGGAGGTCTGAGGGGTTGTCACTGAAGCCTTATAATAAAGAAGTCTCTGAGGACACCACCAAGTGTGTCTGTTGTGTGACAATTTAAACATTCTAGAGCCTTCTACAGTAAAGGTGCCCATTCTAGGTGGGCAGTTTGCATATAACAGCACAAATAAGCTCAAGTATATTTGTAAACAAAGACTATTTTGCCTCACAAACACCAAAATAATCTAGATGATGTGGTGTATGCTAAGAGTCATATAGTTACTTCTTCATGGTGCCAAAAACTTTGTGGCATTTTATTTATTAAAATTGTTTTTTAAAAAGATACTAAGGCATGTTTTGGGCAATAGTTCATGTCACTTTTGCATACTTCTTTTCAATATATGTGAAGATGTCCACAAGGAGAATGTTATAAATGTAATGTCATACCTATCATCCTGGAGCAAGGTGAATGCAGTTCAGATCTTACCTGCAGACGACGTGTGCTGTGGAAATGGTACTGAGGTTCCCTGAGAGTAACCAGGTAAAGGTGTATTATGACCCTTCAACGGCTGTTGAAATAGGCACTGAGCAGAACAGATTTATCCAAATCTATGACAGCAGAATACGTACCAATTGCTGAGAAGATGGAGTCAGTAATTTTGATAATGTTGGGTACTGGAAATATGAGTTTCTTAGGTACAAACACAACCTCAAGGTTGCAATGATTCAGTGTGAGGAATCATTCATTCTTTCCAGAATTAAGAATAGGCCAAATTCAGCTGTTCATAATATAAGTGGAAATAATCACTACTTCCTAAAAGGTTATTTATAACAGTCTTCAATTCTTAAAGGCCCTGTTCAGTTTACACTGGGCCATATTAACTATTATTATTAAGGGGTAGGAACCATCGAGTCTCATTTTATTAAGCCAATATGGCAGTGGTAAAGCCTTAATTTAATTGAGTTTTAATTATACTTTATTGGTTCAGAGCTTTCCTGCTCACTATGGATATTTTAGAAGAATGAGTTTTATGACCATAAATCAAGGCAGACTTTTCATTTTTAGGGTGAAGTATATCCCTTTCTTCTCTGTTTTATATCAGTAAGTCCACTAAGATCATGGAATATCTTTATTCATTTAACTGAGATCCCAGTATAACTGTAACTTGACACAAAAGATAGTTAACAATTTTCAAAAAAAATTTTTTTTTGGTACGTGCCCCTAGCAGGAACCAAACCCAGGACTCTGGTCCACAGGCCAACGCTCCAACCACTGAGCCAAACCAGCCAGGGCTAAAAAATATTTTTAGAGACCAAAAATCCAAGGAGTGCCTATTAGTCTTTGTTTGATATAAAACCTTTCTATATATTTTTAACTCTTAATTGGGTCAAATTGAATATATTTTTAAATATCATTTTCCTTCTCTTGCATCGTTACTCTTCCATATT